ATGTCTTTAAGGTTAATTGTATTAAGCTTGTATGATAAATGAAAGAATCTTGAGCCCGAGGTAGAAACAGCAGAAGCAGCGAGGAAAACAGTGACTCAGCGTAGATCCGAGCTAAAGGGTCAGTTCACCCGAATTATAGAAACACAGGGGATCACGTGGCCACGCAGAAAGTTTGAGTTTTTGTATTTGTGATGCTCACAGCAATGAAACATTATATTTAAACCTGCAGAATCAAGCTGTAAAACACACCACTGACATCTAGCAGACAGTGCTGAGCAACATTACCGTTCATTTGGAATCACGTTTCTGTCCTCAAGATGAGTTTAAGTCCAATATTCACATTCCTTTTAGCTACGTTGTTGTTGTTCTCCACCCACTGAGGTAAAGATCTGAGTCTCTAGCTGCTCAATGCTCCGCTGTGTTCACTGCGTCTGTCTGCCCTTTGGTTCTGTTCGGGTGGTGTAAAGTCAGTTTTAGAGCTTCTTCGCAGAAAAACAGCTGCGGCCATAAATGTTCTATGAGAGCCGCCGCGAGGGAACCAGAAAAGTAAAGTCGGAAAAACTGTCTGTATGGATAAGATGCCACCGGAGGTGAAGAAGATGTCTTTTGTTTCTTTTTTTTAATTTGGGTGAACCGACCCTAAAAATCCCTTTTATTGTTGAGGAATGGGTTTAAAGATGCAGGATCACCTCAGTCTTTTGTTTCATTGGTTTTTAGGATGCTCAACATGTATGAAGTGTCCCTGGTCTTTGTTCTTCACACTATTCTACTGCAGTACATTGTTCAAACACAGCTACACACTAACACAGCTGAGGAGAGATAGGAACCCCGACTACGACTACCTGCGCAGGCTTGAAGACAACACATGATGATGTTCAAGGGTCCAAACTTAGAGTGTGAAAGTTGCTATTTAAATAGCCAATTATTAATGAAAAGTCTTTGTTTAAGGTCACCCACTGATGCACAACACACACACACACACACACACATCAACACTTCTTCTCCTCCCACACAGTAAATGAACAATGAGGTTTGAGCACCACGGATGTCAAAAAAGAAACGTGTATGGAGGGATGTGTTAATATTGTTTTTTGGGGAACGCATTCATACGAATGCACGCGCACACAGACAGACACACACACACGCACACACACACACACACAAAGAAAACAAACTGAAAAAAAAGCAAATCCAAAAAAGCGAAAGCACAAAGGAGTTCTTCCTCTAAAGGGAAAGCGGTCGGAGTAAACGCCAATCAAACACGTCGTCAGCCATCGCTAACTTTTTGACGAGGCTTTATTTTTTAACGTCGATAGAGGAAGACGTCACGAGATGAAAGGAAATGAGGCAAACTGGTGGACAGAAGGACAGGATGAACTCTCTGCCATCATGAGTGATTTCTTTGAATATTTCCATGCCCGTGAGAGAGATGAGAAGCAGCTTCTCTGCTGTGGCGTGAGCCTCTTACCTGGCTGTGCATGAATTTAAGGTTGATTCCTTCCAGCGTGACTTGCAGCAGTCCACCTTCACCAGTCTTCATGTCCTGGACGGGAAACTCTCCGCCCAGCTCAGGACCTGAAACAACACCCGAGTTTAACGCGAGTGAAGATAAATTTACAACCTAAATGTTGAAAATTCAGAGATTAACGTGGTAAATTAATATTTTATGCAATTATAAAGTTATAAATTTGCAACAGCTGCATCATACCAGACGACACCGCTTGCCAATTAAAGCGATTCCATGACTAAAAAAAACAAACAAAAAAAAACACTTTTCCAATGTTTTTGCCCCATAACATTTTAGACTTTAATCCGAGAGTATGTTCAAGCTTTTTCCTGTAAATTTGGAGTTTCTTCTTGTAAAAAATAAAAACTATAATCACAGAGAATATCCACGTTTTGTCAATATTATTTTTCTTAAGAAATGACGTCTTTTTACCTGCGATCCCAAAACCAATATGTGTGAAACGTTGCACCCCTTCTCATCGATAAAAAGTCAAACAATGTGCAACTATCCCAGAGAAAAGACTAGTTGTCAAAAAAGGAAGTTAAAGAAAGAGACTCACCTGGTTTAATGCTTTGCTGTCTCGCTGCAGCTCTTTCCATACTGTCTTTAACACAGTAGTAGAGTTCGCGACACTAGAATGCAGAAAGGGAAAGTTATTTAACTTCCTAACAGATGTTCTTCTGAAGTAAAGATTTAAACAAGTACAGGATGCCGAGAGAAGCCCTGTTCTGACCTTTTTGGTATAGAACTTGTTGAGCTGCGTCTCCTGGCCGTTGCGTCTCCAGAGACACAGCACTTTAGTCTTGGGGCAGTAAGTCATGTTGATGAGCTTCTCGTACCACCAGCGCTCGTAGACGGTGCCGATGTTGCTGCGCAGGACTATGCAGTCATCGCACACCTGGAGCAGTGATGAGCAACGTTAGTGACATGAGATGCTCTCCACATGCAACATTAAGGAAAGCGTTTACTACGTCCATGAGCTCCTGTTGTCGTATCAGGAATTACAGGCTCGTCGTACCTCCATGAAGAAGATGTCTCCCGTGGTGTCGGTGCCAGCGTGCACAACGAACGTTTGCTTCTTGATGTGACGGCTTCCACTGGGCCTGATGGACAGCTCGCGGCCGTTCTAGAAACAAATGTATTCTTCAGTAGAAATAGGGCGAATAGAAGATGAACTAGCTGAATTAAAAAAAGAAAAGGGAGGGGCAGATATTCACCATGTTGGCCAGTTTGTCCAGTGTCTCATTGATCTCTTGGCTGTATGTGAGGCCAATGTGGGACTTCCCCATCAGACGCCTCACTTTCTTCTTGATGTCGTTTTTGTTCAACTAAATAAAACAAAAACATTCAAAACTTGAGATATCTGGAGGCAAAAGAATGTCAGTTCAACCATAGCTTTACTTTCTTCAAACAGGCCTCCGTACTTTCAGCATTAGCATGAACGCAATCATGTTGTGCAGCAGAGTCGCCAGAAGTCTGTCCTCATCATCCTCCAGACGCTTGCGGTCGTGATCGCCTAGAGACAAGTATCTGTGATGACACACAAAACAAAGATTGGTCCAGGTTTCAAACATCATGACAAAGTTATCTAGTATCTGTGGGGGGGAACATATATATGTAGACATATCGAATAAGAAGTCCGGCCATGTTGAACCTTTCGATCATCTCCTGGGGCCCCTGGTCCATTCCCATCCCCTCACGCTCCAACATCACGGCATCCAGGTAGGCGTCCTCCCAGAACTGCAGCTGGTCCCACAGTGTGGAGCGCTCCTTACCTGATCACACCAAGACACAACACATGTGGCTACAAACATTTCATCCACAAGCATACGTTCTTTGATATAAATACATATCTAAAAAGAAATACTGAGTTCAAGGCTCTTATACTGCACGCACACACACACACACACACACACACACACACACACACACACACACAC